CGCCTGCTGGCAGAAGGGCCTCCACTAGAGGCAGCTCTATAGGGTATTTGACCGATTCCTCCACTCTGACCAGACGTCTTGGAAGAGGTGGGAGTACCCACACTTTACAATACCACACACAACCTGCCAATCACCTTTGGTGTACCCATATATACTGCTGGGTGGACGGATGTGGTTAGTCTATTTCTGGTGGGGGATTAAGAAACTTCAACCGTTCTTTCACCTGCCGCACCGGGACATGGAATCGAACTGGCGCCCTCTGGATTATTGCAAATCCAGTGTGCGGACTATTGCATCACGGTACCATCCCGATTCCAAAGTAATCCGAATCGACTCACTTGAGTTAGCTCCCATTACTTCCCGTATGTTTCCACCTTTAAGCACCACTTGTAAGGAAAGCTATTTTCTAAGCGATAATACATAAGTGATGCGTGATGTGAATGAGACAATTACTTTTTCGGGGTAAGGGGTTACATCTTGGCAACATAAATTAACTAGGAGGCCTGAATTTCAATGGGACTGCAGGATTTAGAAATATAACAGTTTTTCATTGAGGTCAACTATTGCTCTCAGAGTTAGTGACGAATTTTTCCATCACCCTTCATATATGTTACATGTCGGAACATGTAAGAAGATTTGAAGATGTTGAACAAAATTGGGAGGAAAGTGTGCACTAAGGCACGCGTTTGTCCGACTCATGTGGGGTCCGCTGTCTCCATGCTCCCCTGTGCTGCGCAATCTCTTTCCGCTCCTCGGGCCACCGTTACCGATCGCACCACATCGCCCCACCTCTTCTTCTGCCTTCCTCTTTCCTTCCACTTACATTACTTACACCTTCTGACCAATATCATTTTCCTGTTGTTTCTCCACATCACCGAACCACACCGGAACCTTTTATCTCTCTCTCTCATCTTCTCTTGTGATCTCTACCACCTTGAGTCTTCCTCTCGCATCTTCATTTCTCACCCCCCTCCCCCGTCCTTCCTTGTCAAACCCAACATCCACCGCAACATCCTCGTTTCCGTGACTGCCGTAGCTTGGTCCTTTCTCTTGCTTGTGCCCCAGTACTCGGCCCCATACAACAGCACCGGCATCACCACCACACTTTTCCCTTCAACATAACTGGGGGACCCTCTTATCGCACACCACACCAGTCATCTCTCGCCATTTCAGCCATCCAGCCCTTCTTTTTGATCTCATCTCTGCTTCTAATGATCCTTCAGCACCACATCGTTGCACTCAGGTACTTAAACTCGTTCGACTCCATTAATTGGTCACTTCCAATTTGCAACCCTCCTGCATTATTTCCACGTAAATTTGCAATCATGTACTTCGTCTTTGTCCGACTGATCCTCAACCCATTCCCTTCAATCTTTTGCACCCAGATCTTCAAATCACCTTCCACTACCCGTGTTTTCACCGCAGAGCACAATGTCGTCTGCAAACATCATACACCAGGGGGCTCCCTCTGAACATCTTTCGTCAGTGTGTCCAGTACCAAGATGAACAGGAAGAGGCTTAGGAAGAACATTTCTTCACTCCCGCTTTCACTTGAAAGCTCTCCAACACCCCACAGCTGATTTGCACGTGCGTTTCCCTCCTTCATACATATCCTGGATCAGCCGGACATATACCTCAGGAAGACCTATTCTTCTCATACACCACCAGATGAGCTCTTTGGGCAGCACATGCAGAGAGATGCGTGCATGAAATTACACCGAACGACAGGAAGAAGAGCCCTTGGGTTAGGGTAGATACTCAACTCAGAAACATAATGTTGACGTTGATTTGAAGCTTTCGTGACTGCAGGAATCCATACTCTTTGGTTCTTTCGGTAAAGTCACGTAGGTGTAAAAGAAATCGCAACTTTATTTAATACCTACGTGACTGTACGGAAAGAACCAAAGAGTATAATGTTGACGTTTCGGCAAACAAGTGAATTTGGCTTCGGCAGGATAAATCGCTAAATGGAATGACGGCTGATGGACACTCTTAAGAAAGGTGACGGAATTGCGGCCGAATGAGAAAAAAAAACTCGATCATCACGGCGATGGAGCGATGATATAATCGTCATATGTAGAGGCGAAGTGAATTGTAGCATCGCAGAGCTGAGGGATGGTGGGTGGCTGCATGGTAAGCGACTCATCTCGAAGCGTGGCTGATATCGAAAGCAATGCTGTGTTTCAGATAATTGCACCAAAATTCTCCCACGTGCAAGTGTCTGCATTTTATTCCTGAATGCCCTCCAAGACCTCTTCTCATAACTCGTATTGGGCGTTTAAAATAATGAATATGCATCATGCATTAACTATTTCAATGTCTGCCCTTTCCTATTGGTTCACACTGACACTATACACCTAAGTGCTGTAAACATAAATTCACGTTACATTTGTGCGTAGCATGCATTTTTTAGTTGTAGATTTGTAATGATTCGAAGACATTCAAGGCAGGTTTTATATCGTGTGAACTACACTTGGATACTGTAAACTTGTAAGCGTTCTTTATTCTTAGTGGACGCAAAGTACAAAGATTATAACATAAAACATTCCCGAAAGTCGGCGGCTATGTTGTATGCGTTGTCATGAGGCAAAGTCGAACTTTTATACACGAATCGATTCTGTTTTATATTATTTATTAAAACAAGATGCACAGGGTAGAAAACAGGTTAACAGGACGCAACCAAGCCATTATATAACATCATTTTTATATTAAAAAAAACATGTACAAATATAAAAAAACTCCAGGCACCAATGGATCGTTCCACGCCTATTCGCTCGCATCCGTCAACCCCTCATCAGTGCCCTAGCTTATCACAGACCAATTCAGACATTATCGATCACTCCGTGCCCTTGTAAATCTCAACGTTTATCCTACAAAGTCCCATCACAAGGGAGAAACTACAAACAAATAGACAAAAACATTACTTGTGCCCGTCTCGAGACGGCTGTACGACGTACGGACCCAAACTCTTAATTTCCCTGTACCAAGGATCGTGGTGACCCCTTACTCTGTGGTTCTTTTGGTAATGTCACGTAGGTAGAAATAAAATAAATCACGACGTTTCGATCGCAACACGAGCAATCTTCATCAGGTGGAACAACCACAGCTAGAACAGTTGCTGAAACGCTAAAATGCTGAACACTTCAGCATTTTTTTTATTGCTGTGGTTGCTCCACCTGACGAAGATTGCTTGTGTTGCGATCGAAACGTCGTGATTTGTTTTCTTTTATTTCTACCTACGTGACGTTACCGAAAGAACGAAAGAGTATATGGATTCGTGCAATCACGAAAGCTTCAAATCAAGAATCGTGGTGACCCGTTATGGATTGCCGGATACGCGTTCGCGTCTCACTCCCTGAATCACACACACACACGACTCCTGGCCTCAAACACACACACACACCTGCGCACTCTACAGGGACGTCTCAACAAAGGAATAAAGAGCTATTAACACAAACTTTCACTCTGCATACGTGACGAAGATCCGTAACTGAGGGAGCTCCAGGACATGCCACGCCACGCTACGCTCGACAAAAGACCCGTCGTGTTGTAGCCTGAACAGACTGCTGGGTCAAGTGCTGTTAGCGAGAAACCGAATGACGGCCAGCACCACGCCCGACCGCCTTTGTCTCCCCAGTGGCGATGTTTTACACACCGCACCAAGGTTCCCGTTCGAGGCCGAGTCGACCTAGGTGCACGTTGCTCGCTGCCCCCTCACAACGGACTCGAACTTTTCCCGCCATTTTCCCTTTCGAATCTTTACGGGCCAATCGCGGGGCCGCTCGCCCGATCCGGCCCTTGAATCTGATTGGCTGCTCCGCTCGGCCAATTTCGCGTGCCTCGCTGCTCAGCCAATGGGAGGCTCCCCACGCGTTAATTTGTTTTATCCAAGGGTCGCCGTTCGTCTTCCTTACACGTAGAGAATCAGAATAGTTATTTATACTGGAGGAATCCGAAGAGCTATGAAGCTCTTTTTCACAAGATGCCCAGTATGTGTCAGCCGAGTAGGGCCGTAGCTAAAGTGCTTTTGAAGTTAAATCTTGACTTGAAGCTTTCGTGACTGCAGGAATTCATATTCTTTTGGTCTTTCGGTAAAGTCACGTAGATAGGTTCAAAGAAAATAACAAAAAAAAACCCCACGACGTTTCATTCGCAACACAAGCGTTCGTCATCAGGAAGAGGGGGTTAGCTTCTCAAGGTAAACTGTTTATACAGGTTTGAAATGGGCGTAGCCCAATTGTCAACAGCCAATGAGAATGTGGTGGGCAGCGACCGCGACAGTGGTGGGTTTTCCCACCAATCAAAGGGCTGGGAAACCCACCACCGTCGTGGTCGCCGCCCACCACTCGCACTAACATTGGCTGCTGACATTTGGACTACGCCCATTTCAAACCTTTATAAACAGTTTACCTTTAGAAGCTTCCTGATGACGAACGCTTGTGTTGCGATCGAAACGTCGTAGTTTTTTTGTTATTTTTTAACCTATCTACGTGACTTTACCGAAAGACCCAAAGAATATGCTTTAGAAGCTGATGAGTGCATAACCTGGTTTGGGGTTTGACTCAGGACCTACAGGGTCAATAAAATGCCGTACCACTTTGACATAAGCCAGTAGTGATTGCCCATTACCGAGACTGGGCAGCGCGATTGTAATGTGGAGTTGGGATCAGCGGAGGTGAACGTTGCCTCATTGATTGTTTTTTAGCAGCGAGACACTGACTTATATTGATTCTAAATAAATATCATTGTCCGCTGGCCAATAGATTTATCACATCTAGAAAAACTGGACTGTTGATGAACCAGGAGGACGAGAACATCTTGTGAGAAGTTATCCCCCTTGTCTGGGATGCAGGAGGCTGTGGGTTCGATTACGACCCTGACGCTTGTATATTTAGAGTTTGCATGTCTCTCTCCCTGCGGTCGAGTGGATTTTTCTCCGGGCCCTCTGGTTTATCTCTCCGCATTTAGAATCATACGTTTAGAGTATTCGGCTGCTACACATTCCCACACGATGATAAGCCACTTTGTTGAGCTATCATTTGTAGCCAGGTCGCTTCTAAAAAAGAGATATATAGCATGGTGGGCCTTACCTGGTAAAAAAAAAAGCTTAAATAGTGTTTTATTTCAGTTACTTGTCGTGGAGGTAATAATACCTATTTTCTACTACCCAACAGTGCCATGCTGGGACCGTGCTGAGCCGGCCAGGTTGCATTTCCACTGCTGAATAAGACCCATGCCGTCGTGATGTGTTAGAGACGTACTGTGCTGTCACATGCATTATTCGCCTCCACCGCTGACCCTACTTGGCCCAAAGCCAGATTCATGTCTTGTGAGGCGAGCGTAGTGTGGTTTGTTTCGGCACGGCAAATAGCCAGTGTAAACCCACCCATGACCGTGAGCGCCCTTCGCTGGCTCGGCTCAGATGCCATTGGAAAATAAGTACAAGTTGTGTTTTTGTAATGCAATAGCATTACAACGATGAAATAGCTCAAGTTTAATAAACACCCCATCATTACCGTCAAGGTCAAAATGTGAATATTTATTTAGAAATATGTATTTATTATTTATCAAAAACAGTACTTTTTGTGTCACTCAAAAACCAGATCTGGCTGCATTTTGCATATGACACGAGTCAACAGTCTTGTGCTGAGCAAGATCCCCTGTGACATCAGACAGAACGACTCTCCTGAACACATCGATGTCAGAAAACTTAATCGACCGGATGACACAATTGAGGGCACTATCCTCATCGCAGCTGCCACTGACAAGAACCTCACCGAGGCCTGATTAAAAGACACCAGTGGCAGAGGTTGTTCGTTGTGACCTTTCGAGATTGGACTTGGCGGCAGGTGCTGCACGACAAGTCGCCCATGTTTAGCTTCCAGCTTGGCGATCTCATTTTCCAGAGCGTTGAATTTCAGTTGCCACTCCTTGCAGTTCTGGCAAGACTGCAACTCGGACTCCTCTTTTACATTACTGTGGTGGTTCTGTATGTCGAAGTAGTCCTGCTCCTGCACCTGTGTTGAGAAAATATCGAGGCAAAGGCCTTAGGCAGGTGTTGGAATTGCACAATGCGTATCTGTGCATGGTGGACATCTTTCGCACCGTGCGTAGCCAACCGTGCTAATCAGAGGTATATGGCATGCCGGTGAATGTATATAAATGACAATGGTCTTCGAGTGTTTTCTGATGAGACCATCCATATAAAGAAACAGCCATGATGATAATGCATGTTGAGAACAACCCTAATAAGACAACCTGTAAAGATACTGTATCCACTAATATTCTAGGTCAGTTCCTTTTTAAAACGTATACGTGGTAAGAAACAGGAGTCTCCTTACAAAGCTTATGATGTGATGAAACTGAAATGTACACACAGGTGGATATATGAACACATTTTTACGTACTGTACTGTAATCTGGTCGGATCAGAGCTTGGACGATGTGGGAGTTTCTCGAGTCTGCAAGGCGAACCACACCTTGCCGTAAAAGTGTTTGATTACCCACAGAAATGCGCCACTGGCCCATGAGATAATGTCGGACACATTTTCTTTCTCCATGAGACATTCCTCGTGTGATCATTGCTCACTGAGCCCATCACCGATAAAACTATTGTCAGGTGAGATCATCACTCTTGAAAAGTTTATTCGTGAGAGTGAAATACTATCAGGACTAATGCGGAGTCATTGAAAAATACAGCCACAACTGGAATTTCACGAGGTCTGCGACGACATGAGGGCCTACCACTGCAAAATGGCCCGCAAGTGACGTTCAACAATCGGTCACTGCTTGCATCGTAGCCACACTAATCGGCAACACTTAATTTCTGATTTTTGTGCCACTGTAAGCCACTTCTTTCTTGCAGTACCGGAAATGACTGAGGTGTTTGTTAATGAGTAGCCCCACAAATTTATTTTTGAAACACTCATATGTGTCCCTCGGTAAGAAAAAGGTTTTTCACCCTATAGTGAGAACAATCCCAGCAGAGGTGGAGCCATCCAATTGAGGCCATAAACAGATGTTATTTTTGGATGCATTACATAAATAGACTATATGCTGGACAAGCTGCATAACTCAATTGTATCACAGTTGTGTGAAACAATTATGGCCATAGACCAATTAAAATCATATTTTAGCAGTGCTTTTAGAATTACTAGATAACCAAAATCCGAGTTCAAGCCAATACGGCGTAAATCCGGGATCCTATGACATATTTGGTAGCTCTGAGCTTTTGCTGAGTTTACTTAGACACCATCCAGAAATTGACCATCAACAGGGCTCTGCAACCCCGGATGCGATGACCCTTAATGAACCCTTCCACGTTTGAGACAAACACGAGGTAGAGAATCCACTCCCCATGCAAATGCCAGGTGCACATTTACCCTGGCCTCCGGCACCGACGTGGGAGCGAGCTCCAGGCTGGGCCTCCTGCAGTCCGCGTCCATCAGTGGCACACGCTGCTGCACCAGAGCCACGAGGCGAGCCAGGAAGTCCGGCTCGCGAGCGTCGAGCCTCGTGAGGAAGCGCAGCCGCTCGGGGACGTTGCACGGCTCAAGGAGCACGGGAACGACGCGCCTGTGTGTCGTGCACATGTGCGGCCACTCGGTTACCGACTCGTCTGCATGACGGGAGACTTCATTTTTTCGGAGGCGGACGAATGGTTCAGATGTCAAAACGCTCAGCTGGCCCTGCCGAGATCCTGAGTTCAGTCTGGCGTTGATTTAAAAGCGGGTTCTCAGGTGGTGTGTAAAGGAGTTGCTGGTCTCAGCCCAGTCACCAATGGCATTGCAAACAAATGTTACATTACATTTAATTCTGCAATTTATCTAAATTCCAGCTTTCAGAATAAAAAAAAAATACTTGACTGTCATGTTATAAACATTTCATGTTCACATGTCACTCCCTCACTGGTTAGTTCATCCGTGCATCTCACCTTGTTCACATGTTCATACATGATTTATATTCTGATTACATGAACCCAACCTCACTGTCCACTCTCTGTCCACTCTAATATCCTGCCTTGACACTGTCTTATCTTGGATTGGTTCCAAATATTGGCAAAAAATGCCATTGTCAGTAAAGACTTCAGTTTCAGTGTGCACCTCCTCAAATCTCTCATCTCCAATTTCCAGGTGATCCAAAATATCGCCCCAAGACTTCTCACCCGCACCAGTAAACAAGACCGCAGCACCTTAGTACTCTGATTTCTCCACTGAATCCCAATTGAATCCCAGATCAATTGCTAGATAGCATTAATTGTATCATATTCTTGGTTCTTTCGGTAAAGTCACGTAGAAGGGAAACAATAAAATAATAAAAATATAAAACAATAAAATTCTCACGACGTTTCGACTGCAACACAAGCAATCATCATCAGGTGTGAAAACCACAACAAGAAAATTTGAAAAAAGTGGCGGGTTTTTTAACGTTAGCACCACGGATAGCGATTTGACAGTTTGTTCAGTTGGACGAGTCCATCTATCTGGCTACCATGAGAGATTCGTTCATGAGGCTATCCACATATACAAACACAGACAATTTCAACCGAGAAGATGGATTCTGGCTTAGCAATCATTGGAAGGATTTGATAAACCATTTCGGGTCTTAATTTATTGATCACGCTTAAGGTGGCTTTCAGACCGCATCCATTATTTTTCGTCTCCCCCCTCCTCTTTTCCGAACATAAATGGACTCGTCCATCTGAACAAACTGTCAAATCGCTATCCGTGGTGCTAACGTTAAAAAACGCCACTTTTTTCAAATTTCTTGTTGTGGTTTTCACACTTGATGATGATTGCTTGTGTTGCAGTCGAAACGTCGTGAGAACTTTATTGTTTTATATTTTTATTATTTTATTGCTTCCCTTCTACGTGACTTTACCGAAAGAACCAAGAATAGGACTCCCTGCAGTCACGAAAGCTTTAAATCAGCATTAATTGTCTTCAACATTCTCCATGGATATGCCTCGCCTACCTCTCATCTCACTCTACTGCCTTCCACACACACTCCCCGCTCCAGTATCTGGTGAAGTCCCAGTCAACCTTTGCCTCGTGGGAGTTTGCTCGTTCTCCCATTTCCACTATAATCCACATGGTCCATCTGCCGCCTCACCTTGTCCACCTGCCTTCCCACCTTTCCACATCCGCACGTAACTCCATCCACACGTCTACCCGGCTCCCCTCATTTCCCAGGTCCACGTAACTCCATCCACACGTCTACCCGGCTCCTCCCATTCCCCAGGTCCACGTAACTCCATCCACACGTCTACCCGGCTCCCCCATTCCCCAGGTCCATGTAACTCCATCCACACGTCTACCCGACTCCCCCCATTCTCCAAGTTCACGTCACTCCATCCACATGTCCATCCGGCTCCCCCCATTCTCCAGGTCCACGTAACTTCATCCACACGTCTACCCGGCTCCCCCCATTCTCCAAGTTCACATCACTCCATCCACACGTTCATCCGGCTCCCTCCATTCTCCAGGTCCATGTAACTTCATCCACACGTCTATCCGGCTTTCACCCATTCTCCAAGTTCACGCCACTCTATCCCCCGCGTCCACCTGCCCTCCCACCCCTCCGCCGTCGCACGTCACTCCGATCCCCCCGCGCTCACCTGTTCCTCTCCAGCACGCACGTCGCTTGCGCCGAGTTGGTGAGCGCCAAGATGGTCTCCAGATCGCACCAGCCGCTCTCCAGGAACCCGAGCGAGAGGGCCAGCAGGATCAGATGGGAGCTGTGCACCGCGTTGCAGACGTTGTCCACGATGGCCATGCCCGGGACAAAGTCGCGACTGCTCAGGCACACGCGCAAGTTGTTTGGGGCCGCCTCCATATGCTGAGCCACCAGCTCAGCCCATTCCTCGTCCTCTCTGCTGCAGCATAGGTATGCGTCATATGGTCGCTCCGTCATCTTGTCTTGAGGAGTGCGTATTGGTCGTTGTGTCTACCTGTTGCTGTTGACCGATGTATTCACGTGGATGGTGATTTTTTAGCTAAGCCTTCGCGATGTACGTTAGGCACTCGTAATTTTCTCTGCGAATCATTGGTTACTATTTTGACGTGATTCGAGTGTGTTGTACGTATTTAGATGGTGTACGTTATTTCGTTTTGCTCTTGTGTGTTGTACAGCGTTCTCAGATGCGATATACAATTTTATTTGTATCGATGTCTCAGCAGTTACGAATTCCCATATAATAAATTAGTAACAAAAAGGTACAATACTTACTAATTCAAGTATTACTTTTGTTTTGTCAGTAGTTTTATATTGTATGTAAATACTGTCAATGTATTTATCTCAATGGCTAAAATGCTTGTTTTTGTTATTTAGTTATTTTCGTATGTGTATGTTTACATTTTCAGTATTTTATACCTGTCCTGGCGTGGTTAGATGATCAATTTAGATTTACATGTACGATGTTATACTTTATATACGCGTTTACAAGTCAAACCTATCGATTAATTCGATTATTTTGAGTCAACATCGGTCAATACAGAAAACTATTTAAAAAATAAAGCGGTAGAGTACTTTACTTACGGTACATCGCAGTTCTTAATACTAAACAAGATAAATCCAGCACCTCATGTGAGCGCCGACCTATTTCAGTCCACTGCCAACTTAAGGAATTGCTCATTTACAAATACTATTCAACGAGTTCACTTAATGTCCAAATACCGCCTGTAATGTTGTTCTATATGCGCGTAAAGTGGTGCGTTGCTAATGCAATGACGGAACGAGAGCAGAAGCAGCACAAGGTCGAGGAAGTTCTGGATTCTGAAAGTATCAGCACCTCACCTTTTTGTGCGAGCTCTCACGTCACACGCCCCCTTTCAGCACCATAGGTAAACAACCCACCCGACGTCACACGTTTCGTTTCAAAGGTCACCTACCTGTGCCCAATCTTAAAGAGCTTTCAGCCATTTGCCTGCAAGGAGTTGATGGCATTTGTGTATTAAAAAAAACACACACTCAAAGTGGGGTGGGTTAAAAGTTTTGCATATTACATTGAAGCTGCCAATATGGATTTATACTGTACATGGTGCCATATTGTGTAGGATTTTCACTGAAAACATTGATGGTATTGTATTTGGATATTTAGTCTGTTTATTAACATGGACATCAGCTCACAATGTAATGCATTCCAATGCAACTTAAGGTCACAGGGTATGGGTTATGGGTGTTGATTAGATTGGACTAAGAAAACCCTGAGCTGATTGCTAGGGTTTGGCGTAGAAACTGAGAGTTTTCTGAAATGTGATTAGGGTTTATGCTTATGAATTGGGTTAGAAATTAAGTGAGTTATGTAGGGTTATTTTCAGAGCTAAGGTTACAATTAATGAGGCGATAGGAGTTTGGACTGTTGTGTGATTGAATAAAAAGGGAAGGGGTAAGGCATGGTCATGATCAGTTTAACACGTAGGCTTTAGCGACCAATATCAGCCATGATTACAACTAGCTTAATCAATTACTGGTGAAACGTCGTACTCAGATTGTAAGTGTTGTGGCTTAGCTCTCCAACACATCAGTGTGCTGTACTAGTGACGAATTGGCATGTTCTGTTTACGTGACAACCCTTACTAGTTGGCTGTGTCGGCTGGTGGCGTGTTTTAACGACACATTTATATTTACACGATCTAACACAAAAAAAAAAACCTCTTATGGATGGTCATGATCACTTGTTATTCTTTTCATCATCATCATCCTGATCCCACATCAGCCATTGTCCATCCACATTTGTCGATTTGTGTTATGGCTTCCTATGGATGTGTTGCCTTTTTGTCTGCGGGTACCCCGATTTCCTCGCAACATCCGAGAACATTAACTCAAATATATATACAGTATATAGCTTCGGTGAAGCTTTCTTGCATGAATAGCATCATATTGTAATCGGCAGCAAGTTATGCTTATTCAAGAAAGGTCCCCTTCCCCAGTCGTGGGAAACAATAGGAGCTTCGCTGTGCTAGCCAGAGCCTGTTGTTACATTTGAAGCAAGAATGGCGTGCGAGGAGGCATGGAGGGCAAGGGAGAAAATGCCGCGGTTTGAGATTCCACCTCCGAGGTGCAACAAAAAACCTGGCCATTTGAGAGGAAGAAAACAATCTCACTGATTGGAAGCTGCGGTGAACTACTTGCACGATGTAAATTGCATCGTCAAAAGCGGTCTTTTGTTACGGCACTGACACCGAACCGGAACTGTAACCTTCTGGGAAAACTCAGAGATTTCCCGAGACTGCTACCTGCCAAAATGAGGACAAGTGGCAACATTTAGACACGGCACTGTTATTCACATTACTTTATTTTTTTAGGGGGCCTGTGACGTGAAATTAGTTTTTAGGGGGGTCACCTTACTGGGGCTTGATTATAGCCCCCAAGCTTGTTCATCACGTCACCACGTCAAGTGATTTCTCTATTGAATACAAAGGTGATGAGGAGGACCTGCAACAAGTTATTGAGCCCAGACCAGAATATTTGACTTATTGGTACCGCCTGAGATAGGAGTACATTGGTGGTTTATTTGTTTTACAATGTGGCCAAAAGCAGTGATTTATGTGGGAACCGTTTGAAACGAGTTGGCCATGAAAAAATAAGCCATAAATGGGTACGACTGAAGTTTTACAGCCATAGGTGTTAGAAAATGTCTGTTTTGGTCCATGGACCAATCCTATTAGAATGCCATTGCTGATTGTCCCAACCTAAGTGGGTGAATACGAAGAGAGTTGTTGACACATGGTTACTGATGTGGTCGTGGAGAAAGCCGTGTTCTGGGGGACAGCAGGAGGGAATTTACGAGAGCGGTCACCATCACATCAATCAAATTGATGGATCGAAGTAAAAATTGTCATTTTTCATGAAAGTAAATCGACCCCAACGTTCTCCCTCCAGTTGGGAAACCCCCTACGAGCCACGCCTGGTGTCACGTGGCGTGGGCCAATGGTGCGTGGCATTCCACACACACCACACGCAGAGGCGGCTGCAGTGTGGTGGTTATTATTTTTTTTTTGTGAAATGACTTTGGCAGTTGAATACCATGAGTTACAAGAGTAAATAAGGGAAGTGAATTGATTGTGAAAGTATAAAATGTCAACAGTACATGGGAATATGCATTCGCAGTTTTATAACGACTTTAAATTCACAATAAAATTCAAGATAAAACGCTTATATGAAAAAATGTTTACTTGCAAAAACTAGTAATTTGGTCAATCCTGTGCTTAAACGCAGCATTGTATTTATTTAACCAAATGATGACTGACGGCAGCACCTCATATCCCCATTGTACTGTACTGTCTATTTGGCAATGACGTGTTTCTGAAGCTGCTCGGAGTCAGCATAAAACACGTGTCTTAAAAACAAAGTTTAGGTTCTTTTCCTCATTCTACAGAGGTTGAATCACTGTTTTGGTTGTCATGACTCCTTCATTAATGTAAATCCTAAACAGCTTAGTGAGTCATCTCATGTATGCTTGTTTGTTGGACTTCTGGCAAGAGTCTTGCTTATAGTTTGAGGGTTTAAATGTGCTTTTTTTCCAACTTGCGAACATTCAGTCGCATTTACGAACCCAACTGCGGTACTATCTTGTTCAGCGGAGTTGAACAAAATATCCTCCCAGAAACGCCGCTTTTGACAAGCAAGCCAGCAGCAGGACTGAAGGCAAGTTAAGAGAAAACTGATTTTTTTTTTCGATTTAAAGCTTTCGTGACTGCAAGGATTCACCTTATTGGTTATTTCGGCAAAGTCACGTAGAATGAGAATAAAACAATAAAACAAAATAAGACAATAAAATATGAGCCATTGAGAATTGTCTCACTGATTTTTTCATTACAAGATTAAGTTGAATTTCGATTTAAAGCTTTCGTGACTGCAAGGAACAAACCTGTCGTCCCGACAGTTCTGTTCCTTCACCTGAAGAAGGCTACTTGTGTTGTGGCCGAAACGTCGTGAGAATTTAATTGTTTTATTTTGTTTTATTGTTTTATTCTCATTCTACGTGACTTTACCGAAAGAACCAAGAAGATGTGTTTTTTTCGTTTTAGTTACTCTACAGTATTTATTTCAATATTACATGCAAAATGTCAAATATTTCTTATGATTCTAACAATGCCTCCATTTATTTGTTTAACCACAACACATGTTGTAACACTGACCATACGCACATTTAAATATTCCGAGTTCCGAGATAATAATAAATCGACTTACGAACGGGTCTCAGGAACGTAACTCGTTCGTAAGTCGAGAACTGCCTGTACTAGACATTTTCTGTGACGCTGCATATTCAGATCAGACGTGTAAGCATATTTTCTGGAAGGTATTTCTTGAGTTATAGAAAGTATACATTGTATAAGTAAATAGTTGAGGGTCTCATGAACGTAACCCATCCCTAAGTCGAGAACTGCCTGTAATACTAGACTTATATACTGTACTGTGAATACATATGAAGATCAGACATATGCAGTATGCATATTTTATGGAAATATGTATTTAGTTATAGAAAGTATAGTGTGTATAAGTCATTAGTTGGGGGTTGTCTGCTCAATATGGTTACGCAGGACAATTATTTTGGTCAACACAACTGCGTGTTTTTTTAGTGAAGTGTCTAACTGCTGTTAAAAATACAGCAACGTACTGTGCCGTATATATAAATGACTGTAAGTAATTTGACACTACAATCTTGAACCGATTCTTTTTAAAAAAAATACGACTACAACAACGTATGTTATCGTCCAGCATCAGCTACGTTTTTGAAAATTGCCCCGAGGGTAAGTTGAGTTTTGAAAAATAACATCGACCGAAGTCGTGGTCCGTGCGTGACGCCCCAAGAACAGCAGCTGCCTTGCCTTCGCAAAAGCTCTGCGGGTGGCGTCTGTGAGTCGGAGTCGTCTGTGAGTCGGAGTCGTCTGTGAGTCGTCTGTTAGTCGGAGTCGTCTGTGAGTCGGAGTCTGTAAGTCGGAGTCGTCTGTGAGTCGGAGTCGTCTGTGACTCGTCTGTGAGTCGGAGTCGTCTGTAAGTCGGAGTCGTCTCGTCTGTAAGTCGGGGTCGTCTGTGAGTCGGCGTCCTCTGTGAGTCGTCTGTTAGTCGGAGTCGTCTGTGAGTCGGAGTCGTCTGTAAGTCGCAGTCGTTTCGTCTGTAAGTCGGAGTCGTCTGTAAGTCGGCGTCCTCTGTGACTCGTCTGTGAGTCGGCGTCCTCTGTGAGTCGGAGTCGTCTGTGAGTCGTCTGTGAGTCGGAGTCGTCTGTGAGTCGTCTGTAAGTCGCAGTTGTCTGTGCCAACGCTACCGCAAACACATCGGCCATGAGCAAGGGCATTTGATCTTCTTTGGTTCTTTCGGTAAAGTCACGTAGAATGAGAATAAAATAATAAATTAATAAAATAAAATAACAATACAATTCTCGTTCTACGTGACTTTACCGAAAGAACCAAAGAAGATGAATCCTTGCAGTCACGAAAGCTTGAAGTCGAAATTTAAGGGAATTTGAGTTTGTAGGTTCGTGCGGCGAAGTTTCAATACGGGCAGAAAAATGTTTGTGTCTATTTGTCTGTGTTTCTCCCTTGGGATAGGACTTTGTAGGATGAACTTTGAGATGTATAAGGGCACGGGGTGACGAATAAGGTCTGAATTGGTCTGTAATAAGGTAAGGCACTGATAATGGGTTGGGGGCCGTCCATAAATGACGTCACGCACCTGGAGGGGGGTGGGGCGTCAGACATTTGTGACGATGTGTGACGAGGGGGGGGGGGTATTTGAGAAATGTGACGTCACATCAAAATGCGCAACTTTAAATAAATATAGAATTGTTGTAACAACACTCCTACAACATCAGAGTGCAGCGCCACATTAAATACGCACTACAATGACAATAGCTTAAAGCTATTTGAAGCGTGTTTTATTTTCAAAATGGAAATATGGTTGGGGGGGGGGGGGCAGAGCTTTGTGACGTCATATTTGAGGGGGGGAGGTCTGACTTTTTGTGACGCCGTGTGACAAGGGGGGGGGGGGGAAGGTCAAAAATCGTCCAAAATCGCGTGACGTCATTTATAGACGCCCCCTTAACAGGTATGCTTAATAATGAAAGCTAAACGTGTGATTTTTTTTTATTGGAGGGTTTTGAGTTTTACACATTTGGTTAGATGTCAACTGAACCAAATCATGTTTACGGGATCGATTAAATTATGAATGCGGGACTGTAACGAGAAGTAAAATAGATGTCGACTGACTACGAAATGACCTGAAATGGATCCGAAACATCGACACCGATGATGGCATTGGAAGACAATGGTGAACACGTGGGTTTCGCGTGTTCGTGACATCGTTTTTGCCTTCACAGGAGGGTTTCTGGGGAAAGGAACTGTGTTGGCAGCCGAAGAAAAGGGCGGGATTGGGAAATGCGTCCCAGAGGGGATATCGAGGACTGAGATGGGGCGAATGGGGGTCACCTCGCATCGCAGGCGCTGGTGGGCGATTGTCCCACCGCGTCACCCCACAAACTGAGGGGTGACGCGTTGACGTTGAACTTCTTTGGCGCCGTACGTTCGCCGCTCGTCGGCTTGGGGGGAAGGCCATCGTTCGGGAGTGGATTGCCCGCGGCTGATCGTGATGAAGTAACACAAAGGGGGCAGACATCATCGTCGCTGCTTGCAGCGGACATCGCGGATGTCGCCATGTTCACCTGAAGAAGGGCCGCTTGTGTTGCGTCCGAAACGTCGTCATTTATTTGTGTTTTATTTTTCTACCCACGTGATTTCTTTACCGAAAGAACCAAAGAGCATGGATTGCTGCAGTCACGAAAGCTTCAAATAAAGATTGACACAAGGGTCTCGAGATGCTTGCCCATGGCTACTATATCAGCAGACAACATATGGGAGGAAGAGCATCGATCATCCGTGTAGATCATCGATCATGCGGTGGCTTTGGGGGGGGGGGTGGGGGGGGGATTCGCCGGATTTTCAAAAACGCCGGATAAGCACGACATCATCATTATTATTAGTGATAGTTTATTTTTGCACATTCTTGCTTGACATGTTTTTAGGTGTTGTGTTTTAAATGTGTTTACTAGATGAAATTGCCATAAACAAACGTGCAAATAGACACAAATAAACATCCTACTTTAAAAAAGTTACAGCATTAGCTGTGCCGTACGTACCACTCCAATGTCGAAGACTCTGCAATGGGGTGATGTATGTACGTGCAGTATTTTCATTGTTTACGTTGTATGTATTGTATAATGTACCGTAGGTAATACACTTAAATCAAGCATAACTAGGTTTTTTTGTCACGCACATAGTGCCGATCGCCGGACTGGTACACAGGCTTTGGAGCGGATTTGCCGATTGGCCAGGGACCGCCGGATAATTTTGGAAGCAGCCGGATAATTCGGTGATCAACAACTGGATTCCAACGTGATTTAAAAGGTCAAAACAAAGGCATGGGGTTGGGGAGAATTGCCTGTGACGTGACGACACTGTGCACACCCATGTTGACCAGCGGCAACCCCGCTCGGACGTTCTACCGTGATGTGTGCTCACTGATCGGTGCAACAACTTCTCACGTATCCATGCAAACCGGGGATGAATGCACTTTTAAACCATCTCGATTGAATACTCATGTCTTTATAACTTTTACGTTGAGTTGTTTTGTCCCCCCCACCGCCGCCCCGCGCCTACGATTGGCACGGTTGGCTACGTACGGTGTCAAAGAAGTTCAACGTGCGTACATACGAATGTATTGTTGTTTTCTTACTTTGGAATTTCACAAGTTGACCTTGCCTCTCCTGTATTTTTCATTCCTGTCGTGTTTTTGTATTGTTGTTATATTCTTACCAGCCCCTACTGGACATCTGTGAAAAATAGCTTTATAGCTCATCGGATTCCTCTAGGATGAATAAATATTATGATTCTGATTCAGAAGGGCCTCCACCCGATGAAGCTTTAGACAGCATCACGAGAGGGTATTTTGGCCTACTCTTTCACACTGGCCCGATGTCTTGGAAGAGGTGAGAGAGTACTCATACTTTACCCCACTACATGGGACCTGATCCAAATAAACATGTCATCCATTTGAAATATCTGTCCTTTCTGAACTTCATAGCGTTTAAAATATGTAGCTACAATCTTTCAGGTACTTTTTGATAAATCCGTTGCATGTGGTATTAATTTGAAGGTACACATCTTGACTTAAAGCTTTCGTGACTGCAGGAATTCATATTCTCTGGGTCTTTCGGTAAAGCCACGTAGATAGAAAAAAAGAACAAAGATCAAAATCGCGACGTTTCGATCGCAACACAAGCAATCGTCTTCAGGTGAAAAAGAGAGGGACATCTGCTGCGGCAGGCTGTTTATAAAGGTTTAGAGATGGGCGGGGCAGCAGATTTCCCACTTCTTTTTTCACCTGAAGACGATTGCTTGTGTTGCGATCGAAACGCCGTGATTTAGATTTTTGTTATTTTTTTTCAATCTACGTGGCTTTTCCGAAAGACCCAAAGAATATTTAACGTACACCTTAAAAGGTTGTTCAATCGACTGGCCAAGCTATAAGAATGTGGAATGTCCTTTACTTCCTCAGGACACCCGACAAAAAATGATTACAGCTCCACGCTTGTTTGAATAAGTAGACAATTTTAATTTCCCCATGCCGAGTGCATCCGTCAACGTTGCTTCAACGTTACTGCTGTACAGTGCTGCGGTAAAAATCTATGTACAGGTATTTAAGTTAGCAAGGAGTTGGCACACAGTGGCAAACTGGTTAGCACACTGTGCTGTGAATCCAGCGAGTTCAATTTACAACCATTGCTAACAAAAGCTACCAGTGAAATGCGAACCGATGCTGCCCCTCCCCCCACTTCACCAAGCCGCGTTGAACAGGATGGTGAAGTATGGTCGAACAACTCCCATGGCCTACATGGCATGAGGGGAAGCCTTCATCTGTGGGCACCACAGTGGCGAGATGTTAACTACCTCGCCTGGTATGCAGGAGGTCGTGGATTTGATCCCGACCCTGACGCCTGCTGCTGTATATTTGGAGTTTGCGTGCCTCTCGCCGTGATCCCGTGGATTTTTCTCTGGGTCCTCCGGTTTTTCCCGTCAACATTTAGAAACATGTGCTTAAGGATATTTGGCTACTTTAAATTTCCACACGATAAGCCACTTCGTTGAACTGTCATTTGTGGCCAGGTCACTTTTGAAAAAGAGATACATAGCTCAGTGGGCCTTAGCTGTTAAAATAAAACAAAGTTTAGTTGAGGATCGACATGTACCTGTATACAAATTCCTTGTATATGTGTTGGACGTGAAACAAGTTGATATACAATATACTGTATTGCGTATGTTTAACGTTGAGGAAGTGTTTGTCATTCCAATGCTCAGTGTTGTTCAGACACCAGTACAATGAAACCAGGGTAACGTGCCCTGTGAGGTGATTACACTATAACACAACCTATTGACTCATGGCATGAGGAAAGCTGCTTTCAGCAGTGAATTTGGAAAGGACTTTGAATTATGATTTGTTGTTTCCGTAACTAGCGAGGAGACCAGTGTCCTGTGGGAGATGTCTGGAGAACATCTTCCACCCCACGGATGGACTCGGCATGGAGGGCGTGGGCAAGGGAGAGGTCATGGTGGACGAAGACATCACAGCACTCACTCCGAGGTCATTTTACTGATGTCCATTAATAATGAATGTGGGATAGTGCTGCGGGTGTAATGGTTAGCAAGTGGCGCCATTGTGATGAGATGTTACCTACCTCGCAAGGTATACAGGAGGTCGTGGGTTCTTTCCAAACCCTGACGCTTGCTATATGTTTGGAGTTTGAATGTTCTCCCTGTGGTTGTGTGGATTTTTTTTCCCCAGGTCCTCCGGTTTTTCCCTCCACATTTAGAATCAACATGCGTCTAAGAGTATTTGGCCGCTATAGATTTCCACGTGATAAGCCACTTGGCGTAGCCATCATTTGCACCACCTGTGCTCCCCGCTGCGCAACATGATCTTGCGTTGTCAATACTGTAAGGGTCCATTTTGTGACGCACTGTGTCGTTTTTCCCCTACCCAAAACGGTGGCGAATTAGAACCCTGACGTCCGCTTATCAAAGACTCTGTCCTACGCTCTGCGGCACGGGGCACATCGACTGGGCCTTCACATGGGCAGCGGTAAACACCGCTTCACCGCACTCGCACTGCCGGCAAAACTCCCCTCGTCTGTGACTGTTGTCTGCGGGCCCGTGAATAACGCGTGGAATCTCTGGTATCCACACCTTTGCGTGTAGCCGAGAGGAGTTCGCAGCTTTGCAGGACGTAACAGTGAGGAGTGGCAAAAGTGATGGGGATGTCGTCATGTAGCAGTATAACATATCTTTGTCCTTTTCATTTGTGTGTGTGTGTGAGTGATGGCGAGTGTGAGTGAGTATTATGGTGAGTGTGTGAATATGTTTCTGGGTGTATGATGGTGAGTGTGTGGTTGTGTGTGTGTGAGTGAGTATGATGTATGTTGAACTTCTTCCGCACCATAAGTGGCCAAGCGTGCTAATCGGAGGTGTAACATATGCACACGTGTAAATCATTTAAGATGAATTCTGCAAAAAAACACATTCCAATGGGAAGATTGAGATGCAAGACGTCGTGGGAACTTGATGAGGTTTTCTAAAAACGTTTCTTTATAACATTAGGCATGGAGCAGTAACCTGAGTTCAATTCCCGGTCACAGTTAACGGTGGCCAGTGACGCCTGAACCGGTCGTGGTTGCTCCCCTTCGACAGCGTGCAGTATGGTGAAGTATGGTCAAACAAAGCCCAATGATCAATGCAGCATGGAGAGGTCTTCATCCCGCAGAGGATTGATGAAAGCATGTATATTATAGTTCGTGTTATATTATAGCACGTTGTTACGTATTGGGGACATTGTTTTTTGGATTGTTTTATTTTTCGATTTGAAGCTTTCGTGACTGCAAGGATTCATCTTCTTTGGTTCTTTCGGTAAAGTCACGTAGAATGAGAATAAAATAGTAAAATAACACAATAAAATTCTCACGACGTTTCGGCCACAACGCAAGCGGCCGTCTTCAGGTGAAAGGTACAGAACTGTCGGGACGACAGAGCTTCAATGAACGATATTCTTTGGGTCTTACTAGTAGTAATTTAGCTAAATTACTAGTAGTAATTTAGCTAGGTGCCTCTGTGGATGTGTAGGTTTTGACTTTAACATAGCCATTTCCGTGACCATTCACAAGCTAATCCCTCAGCTATTTGCACAAGCGAATCCCTTAGCTATTTCAATGCTAAATTACTAGTTGCCTCTGTGGATGTGTAGGTTTTGACTTTAACATAACCATTCCTGTGACCAGTCACAAGCTAATCCCTTAGCTATTTCAATGCTAAATTACTAGTTGCCTCTGTGGATGTGGATTTTTGACTTTAACATAGCCATTTCCGTGACCAGTCAAAAGCTAATCCCTCAGCTATTGATATGTAAACCCCTTTGTCAAGGTGCCTCACTTCTCCCAACCAGCTTAAAAGTCGCTACGAATCTTAACATCGTTCATTGAGGCTCTGTCGTCCCGACAGTTCTGTACCTTTCACCTGAAGACGGCCGCTTGCGTTGTGGCCGAAACGTCGTGAGAATGTAATTGTTTTATTATTTTATTATTTTATTCTCATTCTACTTGGTGACTGTGGATTGTTATAAAGCACCCTGGAAAGGGGTGCTTTATATGAATCCTAAATAGCATAGAATTGTTAATGGTTATTTCAAATTTAATTTAGACTGCTCTTTCAGTCAAGTTGTATCCGTAAAACATTGAGACGTATGTCATGAAATCATTTAGACTTTTTTTTACACGTTCAGCATTGATGTCATTTCACTGCTGGATGGGGGTCATTTGGCAAATCAGTTGCACGTTGTACGTAACCATTACTGTCCTTGAAATTTGAACGTTCGGTTTTACCTGCAAAGCACACCTGTGTCCCACTCCCGTGTCCCACTCCCGTGTCCCACACAACGTGTCCCCCACCCGTGTCCCACACCCGTGTCCCACACCCGTGTCCCAACTCCTGCAGATGGATTTGTGGACGTGCAGGAGTTGCTGGCCCAGCGTAGCCTGGCTGGGTACGAGGAGGCGGATTTGAGGAGAGTCGTGGAGTCCAACGACAAGCAGAGGTTCGCTCTGCGCGCCCACCCAACTACGGGCAGCCTGCAGATCCGCGCCAACCAAGGCCACTCGCTACAGGTAGGCGAGGGTGGGCACGCGTGTGTGTGTGTCCCATCGGTGAGCTCCTCCGGCAGGCAAGGCTGCGTTGGCTGGGTCATGTAGCCCGCATGCCCAACCACCGCATGCCGAAACAGCTTTTGTTCGGCCGGATCGAGGGGGCAAAACGGGCGCGGCATGGACTAGAGAAGAGACGGAGTGATGTGGTACAGGAGGACGTGGAGTTGAGTGGACTTGCCGATGACTGGTACCAGCAGTGTCAAGATCGGCCTCTGTGGAGGAGGCTCGTGAAGGACGCTACTGGGCAGTTGGAGGCAGTCGCCCTCCAACAACAACGGAGGGTGGAGGAGCGACGCTCACAACAACGAGCGGAGCACCGGGTGGCTAAAGCACAGCAGGTTGGCACAGTAGGGGGCACAGGTGGTGCACAAGCCAGTCATCTCAGTCAGTCGACCCGTGCCACCTGGGTCTGCCCCGTGACCTCCTGCTCGCAGGCGTTCGACACTTCACGTGGCCTCAAGGTGCACATGGCCTGCCACAAGCGTCGTGGTGACGTCACCGCCACTTACTGGCGAATGGCGGTTGTTGCTGTTGTTGTGTGCATGTGTGTGTGTGCGTGCTTGTGTGTGGTGCAGATTGTGGGGTAGCGGTCATGCGGCAGTTAGCGCTACACTGCATTACGAACCCGGCGAGCCGAGTTCGATTCCCGCTCACGGCCAACACCGGTGATGATTATCTGTACCAGTCCCGGGCCTCCCCTAGGTCGACTCAGCCTCAAATAAGTATATCTGGTGCGGTGTGTAAACATCGCCACTGGGGAGACAAAAGCCGGGCGTGGTGCTGGCCACCCACCTCGTGTGCCGTTCCGGCCTTAATAGGTGCTCGCTAACAGCACTTGCCCCAACAGTCTGTTAAGGCTACACGGGGGATCTTTGTCTTGTTATCTTTGGTGCTGATCGCTAGTGTTGTGCTGATAGCACAGCCTCCTTTGCGTGCCATGCCAGCCTTAACGGGTGCTCGCTAAATTCACTTGCTGACGGTTCTTTTCGTTACATTCGTTGACAAGAGCGTGAGGCTAATGGTGTGCATGTGCGTTTAGAACAGCTCCTCGCAAACAGTACATTCGAACTGCTCTTGTCTGCGCTAATGTAGGGGGGGGGGAGGGAGGGTGGTGCTTTTTACAGACTCTCATCTGTGCTTATCCGCTTCTTTTACATCTCTTTTCAGCGCTTCTTTACAAACCCACTTGCTGTACTGCCTGGCTTTCTGGCAGCCCAGCAGATTAGAAAGATTCACAGCACATGATGAAATCTGTGCGATCCCACCAACTTGTGATTTGCTGGCTTAAAATACGCGCCGCGTGCTTTAGTGTGCGCGTGTTGGATGCTGTCGTGGCGTTAAGGCTAGTTCTCTGGACTATTTAAATCACCTCTGCATCTGTCCGCTCGGCAGTATAACGGAGTAGGCGGCAGGTTGTGTGCGGTGCGGGAAAGTGTGGGTACTCCCACCTCTGCCAAAATGTCTGACCAGTGTGGAGCAGTAGGCCAAGTTCCACCTCAGAGGTGATTAGAGCTCCTTCTAATGGAGGATTATGCCCCAGCAGTGGCGTGAGCAACTGATTCCCGTACATCAGGGGTGAGGAACGTACGGCCCGCGGGCCGTATGAGGCCCGCGAAATCATTTGGGTCTCTGGCCTTGCCAAAGCAACCGCAGGCGGGACTCGAAATTCAATAAATCTAGGAGCAAACCTGGAAAAGCAGTTGCGAGTAGCAAACATCGTCAATACCAGCTAGCATCACCACACGCCTCGCCAAAGAGAAGCAGTTACAGCCATCACATTAGGGGCGAGTTAATTAAATGTTTGACCAAATATAACAGGCAAATTTTTAAGTTGATCATTTTGTATGGCCCGCGAATGATGTTTTAAATATCCAAATGGCCCTTGGCAGATAAAAGGTTCCCCGCCTCTGCTCTACATCATGGGACCTCCTTTGCCAGTACCAAAATATGAGAATAGGTTTTCCCCATTTTTCTGGCAACAAAACAGTTGTGTTAAGATGTTAAAACACCAAACTGAAACCTTTTACAAGGAATCATGTCTGCATTAACCACAATGCTTGTGGTCAGAATGCAAACAAAAAAACATGCTCTGATAGTATATGCATTGTCCTTGAAACTGATTGGTCCACACCAGAGACAGCTTTCTTTTGAGCATCTTCTGGTCTAACACGGTGTTTTAACATCTTAACGCCTGTTTTGTTGCCAGACAAAAAGGGGGAAAAACTGATTCCTGTACTTTAACATTTCACATGCGTGCGCGCGTGCCTGTGTGCGTGCCTCCACGACGCGCGTGCCGATACCAGGTGGAGGAGCTGGACCTGCAGCCCATCACGCTGCACGGCTCGGACTTGCCGGAGTGCGCGGTGCACGGCACCTTCGCGCGCCACTGGCCGTCCATCCTCCGTGATGGGCTCAGCCGCAGGGGACGCGCGCACATACACATGGCGCCGGGAGAACCGGGAGCGGAGGGCGTCATCAGCGGTACTGGCGCACGGGCCGGCTCACCTCGTACTCCGTTCTGTCACCAAGCTGTGCTGGGACCGTGCCCACGTGCTTGTCGAGTGCATCAAAGACAAAGATTCTACCTCGTCCCCCCCCCCCCCGTGTAGCCTGTAACAGACTGTAGGGGGCAAGTGCTGTTAGCGAGCGGAACCTATGAAGGCCGGCACGGCACACGAGGGGGTGGGTGGTCAACACCACGCCCGACCGCCTTTGTCTCCACAGTGGCGATGTTTTTACACACCGCACCAGGTACTCACTTGAGACAGAGCGGACCTAGGGGAAGCCCAGAAACGGTTCAGATAATCGTAACCGGTGTTGGCCGTGAGCAGAAATCAAACTCCGGTCGCCGGGTTCGTAGCGCAGCGCTCTAACCGCGACACTACAGCTCAAAAAACAAAGAGATTTCTTTAGAACTGCTTTTTGTGTTCAGTTTTGTTGTCCTTCCCCCGCACCTCCGATTAGCACGGTTGGCTACATACGGTGCAAAAAGAAGTTCAAGGAGCCAGGTTGTTGTTTCACTCGAGAAACCAACCTGTGCCACTGGCATCATCACACAGTGACAAGAATGATTAACTCGTCCTGATGATACCCCGAGCCAAATTCCATCACTGTCGTACATGGAGGCGTGGTGGCACACAGCTCTAGCCGGTGCTCTAGGGTTGGTTGATCACGTTAGGTTCGTGCAACTCTCAACCGTGCCGGCGTGTGAAGTGGCCGAGAGATGGAAATGTGTGGACCCACAGTGATTGGGTTTTCTGCATGGAGTGTTTCCTTACACACGCAAAACAGTCCTCTTAACTCAATTGGCTAAAGGGTCTTGAGACTCGGCGAGTCTATTTGAGATAAATAAATGATGTTAAAATATTTATTGGCCACCCGGTATCATTACTCAATTTTAAGCATGTAATACAATTCTATTTAGCCTTTGCTTATGATTTGCTTTATTTTCATAAGCGAAATTGAAAATGTTTCTTAAATACATTGAAAGGGAATCAGATCATGTAAGCAGATCGGGTTCATACCAGGTCAGTGGCAGACATAGTAATAATCGTGGTCAGCCGTTTGTCAATCCACTGCGGGATAACGGCCTCCCCACGCCATGCCATGGAGGGCATTTAAACCATAACATGGGTTGGTGAATAAGGGGATTGGTTCGAATATCACTCGCTGCTGATCTTAGTCATGGCTAAGAATCAAACCCAGGCTTGCAGGTTAATAGCACAGTGCGCTAAGCACTGCACCTCCGGTCCACCCCTCCGCCTCGATTGCTACCTGTGTGAAAACTGGTTATGAGTAGTCAGACTGTTTCCTGAAATCTCGCGCACTGACATACTACGTGCATGGTATTTTGGATGTTTTAGTTCCTACATTTCTGAATTATATAAGTGTTTTAAATTAGAGCATATTCTCCGACAGTCCGTTTCTCTACATTATTTACTTAATTACACAAAGGCTTTTTTCAACAGAAATACCAGCCGACGTGATAACCACACGTGCGTAAAAATAAATGCGTACACATTCAACGAATAACAGCAACTTTGAATGTCATGCGTTGTACTTTTAAATGTTGTCATTTCAGGAATGCGAGGGAACTGTGAAATCGCAATTTATATTGACATTGAAAAAGCATTGCAAGGTAAGTGGTAATTTTATCACGCTTGGGTATTTTTCAGGTACTCTGATTTCCTCCTACACGCGATATATATTTTTTTAACACTTTGCAACTTAGTTTGAAAGCGCTGATGCATGAGCACTGTCTGCCCCGCTGTCCATAGCTGGGGTGGGGCACGTTAACTGGCGTTAAGATGATCCAATGTGAATAAACGTGTTTTGAAAGTTGCGTTGGCTATTAAGGAACGTCTTACCACCTGAAAATATACAAACGAATATTACTCTGAAAGTTGCCTGTCGGGGCTAAATGTGGCTAATTGAATTCTTCAGAAGACAAATACACGTTCGAAAGCGTTGCATAATCCATGCCTATGCGTCGTACATTGCCCGAACTTGTTTTAAACGACCATGGGCAACCATCCACATGGGGACTTCAAAAAGTTTAGAAGCCCATTAAAGTTTTTTTGAACGCTGGCATTTTAATCTGAGAACACATTTATGTTTTTGTATATTTAATTTAAAAGTACATGTCGATGTGACTTTTGTTTCAAAATGCATCTTTACAAAATAGTAAGCAAAATTTCAAATGCCCTGTCGCCTGGTTGAATAAAGTACAGCAATTATATATACATTAGCTGTTCATACTCAGGGCTGGAAAATGGGAAGAAATTACTGGGAAACTCATAAATGATTCCTGTTCACCCCCACTAGATCTGAAGAGGAGGAGCTTAGGTCCATCTGTGGGTCTTTGAGTGTTTCTGTGAATATCCGTGTCTGTGAATATCCGTGTCTGTGGGTCTTCTGTGGACGTCTGTGGGTATCTGTGTGTCTGTGGGTCTCTATGCGTGTCTGTGGGTCTCTAAGTATGTATGTGGGTTTCTGTGCATGTCTGTTAGTCTAGGGATCTATCCGTGAGTCAAAAGAAAAGAAAAAAGCGAATCCTTGATTCCTTCTGGAACGCAGTCGGGTTAAAATGTTCACTCTCACCACGGCATTTCAGGGCATTCCGGCCCATTTCCACCACTTCATACCGCATCGCATGCTCCTTTGTGGGTTTGGGTGTGTGTGCTTATGTGGGGCTTGGCGTTGCCTGTCTGGTTAATGCGCGCAGATGGGATCCCGTTTTACCGCTCGGCCAATGGGGTGATCCTGAGCTCTGGAAACGCGCAAGGGGTGCTACCCCGACAGTACTTCCAGCGAGTGATGCAGCTGCAGCCCGGTGAGATAGTACTGCACACTGTGATACAAGGGGTGATCACAACGTCTGTGGCCTGGCATAGCACGCATTGAGTGACCTTGAAGATACTGCTATGTGTTTTTTTTTCTCTTAGTCCTCTTGAAGTGCAATGTACTTGGTCCGTACATTAACAGTAGCGTTTGCAATCGTTTAATCACTATGGCTTTTTATAAGTCTCATAATTCCTGCACGTGCCTTTTTAGATTTCGGACACTTTATTCTCTGTTTGCTTTCTAAGCATTCCTCCCGTTCACTAGACTATCCATAAGCTATATGAATTCATTGAATTATTTGGTAGTGTTGATTCACTTTTTTTTCTGTGCCTTTTCCATGTCTCTCCATGCCCCCTCGTGGTTGCGAGACAGAGCGAAAGCAGTTACCGTTGGAGGGTGACACGCCCAGTTGAGCTTCAAAGTCTGTGGCCGACACTTCCTTCCCCAGGGTCATCAAGATCCCTACCTGGACCTGACATGGAATATTCATATGTCTTATCGTTGGTATCCCGAGGGAAAGGCCCACTGAGGTAGCAAAGCTCTTTGTCAAGGGTGATACGCATGGAAGAGATGGGTACAGGATTGGCACGGCAGACATTTGAATGATTAAAAAAAGCAGCGGTATGGAGGCAGTGGGCCTGCTCCACATCTTTCTGCCCCCTGCTTTTCGTAACTGGTTTAGTTCATGTCGACGGTGCTTGCGTGCATCACGACGTGTATTGCTTCAATAAAAAAAGCTGCATTCTAACAACATTTCATACAACCCAAACTATGGGCCGTACGGTAAACCACTCGAGTATGTGTACCTTCAATGGAGGAAGAGCAAAACTACACCACTGCCCTCGTGGCTAGCAGACCTCGACATTGGCATTTAGCTCCCGGACATATTGCCATCATATGCAAGAATATAATACGAAACACATTTTGTGCATGCACCTTGTACAGTACTACATTACCAAACTGTGTATCGTTGAGATGTCAACTTGCACACTTGAGCACGCATTCACAGAAATCACAGACCACCAAAGCTTGAAAACGTTAATAGTTCGGTGCACTTTGTGTATTGTGAAAGAGTAGAAGTAACATCTGTCGACTTTAGCTGTTAAGTCCAAGCTATTTATTCAATCCCAATTATCTCAATTGTTGAACTTCCAATGAGTGGACTTTATTTTGAACCAGGTGAGAGACCATTGAAAGAGACTAAGTTACATTTTGCAAAATCAGCCCCCGAATAGAAATAATAAAATTTGGCATTGCAACGACTTAGTCCTGAAAAACAAATAAAGACATAACACACAGTCGTAAGATCAGAGTATTTAATAACGTCTAGAAAAGGTTTACTCAAAGATATCAGCACGGTTGGCTTCGTATGGTGCGAAAGAAGTTCAAGACACATCCAAGTCTCAGCTCAAAAGGGACGTTGGGATGGTGTACATCTTGAGCCACGAGCCGTTTGTGGAAGTTCTACATTCTTATGAATTAATGGGGTTTACTTTCATCGCGCGAGGCTGTACAAAATAAATACTTTCACCGGTCAGTTTTCACTATTTTATTTTACTTTGGATTTTGGCAGGAATCCCTTGTGATGCCTTTGTTCGTGCACGTGGCCGTACATTTGTCTCACCACGTGGCGGCGCTAAACGACCGTGTGATTTTTGTTCCCCAACGAAACGGTAACGCAACTTTCATCACGATATTATTCGGTGACGTTGCGTTTGGCAGTGGTGGTGCAAGCAACAAAGATGTCAACACGTTCGTTGAAAATGGGCCATTTACCATAGCGTCGCTAGAATTTTTTCCCTTTTGAGGCACTGTAATTGGCAAAAGTTATGAGTTTTGCGTTGCTTTGATGACCTCCTTGTGAACATATGCATGCTGTACATGAAACATCTACAACTGGCAATAATGAGACACTTTGCCTCTTTGTTACGTATAAGTCCCTACCAGATGGCTGCGAGGAACTCGTATTCAAAAGAGGGTTCACGCTTTGTCATTTAAAAGTTCTTGGCAGCTGGCTGTTTGTGGGCCGTTTGAAACACGTTTAAATTATGCTGTTTATTACACCATTGTGCTAAGATTCAGAATCTTGATTTATCCTGGAGAAATCCGATGACCTACGAAGCTCTTTTTCACAGATGTCCAGGCTAACAATAGTCAGCTCTTTGGCGATCGAAGGGAATGAATAACGACAACGCGTAGTAAGCCACTGTAGCTTAATGTTATAAAGGGGCCCTAAATACAAAAAATATACACATTAAAACACATTTTTAACTTGCATAAAGCAATTGTATTTTTTTTATTTGCTGTACAGCCCAGACAATACGACAAATCGTTAACCTTAAACACCCAGTCGCTCGTAAAAGTTCAAGGCAGTATAGTACTATAGTAATAGAGCGAGTGAAGAATCACTCGACCGGAATTGATAGCTTGAAAGTATTTAGCGCGGGGCCCTTGAAAGTGCGGGGCCCGTAGTAGCTACTACATATGTAGCTACATATGTTGTAGCTACTCTTGCTACGAGGATCATCTGCCACTGGTCGTTCATATGGAGGGTTGGTGTGGCTGCAGTATGGGTTTTAAATGGTCTGTTGTATATTGACGTCAATCATTTGCGTCGTTGTGTAGAATATAAGTAACACAATCAATAAGCAGGCAATATATCTCCTTCATTTATCTATCCCTGCACGTAAAAAGTAAGGTTTTTTTCCCCCACTTGTATAACATAATTGCCTTGAACAATAGGTGACGTAAAAGGGGGAGAGACAGGCCTCTTAACATGCTAATGCATGGTTGATTGAGTTAGGCTTGTGTTTGCGAAACGTGAATAAAACATGAGACACCGTAGGTCATCCGATTAACATGCTAATACCTTTGGTAAAAGCCTCGTTTTGAGTTTTCTGGTCTAAATTATCTCGTGAATTTAAATTAAATACATCACGATAGCAACATTTTCAAAAACTGATCATTGCACTCCGTGTGATTAAATATCACATCAATTACTGTACTCGGTCAAAAAATATAGTTTAGCCTCGTTGACGACAGTGATGAATTACATATTAACAAAGTCGGCTGCAGCCTACAAACATAGTGTCATCTTAGAAAAACATTGCGCAGACAATACTGTTGGACAATGATCATTAAGAGTAGAGATCGCATAGACGATTGACTCGCTTATAGTTGTGAATCGTTCTTTGTTTGCCCTGTGCCTTGATAAACTCTGGCATCACCAGTTGGGTATAATGTTAGGGAGCACCTATTAAGGGCCGCACATTGGTAGCGTGGTCATTAGAACGAACAACAGTCGCCCGGTCACCTTAGACTCCTCGGCGCTAGTGCTGCCACACCGCAAAATATACTTCCGTCATGATCATCAGCCATGGTCAATCCACTGCTGGACTAAGGCATCCCCAACCCGTCACCACCTCTCACACAGGAGGCTTTCGCGGCCAATACCTTTTATAGAGGTTTTTTTGGGTTTGATCGCGTAAATATCAATGTGTCGTCAAACCCGCCACCACCCCACACAGCCAATGAAGTAAGGTTTGTCACGTAAATAGTACGTGCCAATTCCTTACTAGTACAGCAACACCGGTTGGAAATTGTTAATGTTGTGGATTTGCTCTCCAACACACCGGTGTGCTTTACTAAAACGAATTGGCATATTTTGTTCACGTGACAAACCTTACTAGTTGACTGTGGGGTGGTGGCGGGTTTAACGACACATTTATATTTATGCGATCTAACAAACAAAAAACCTAGATTATGTGCAGTAATTATCCACCTATCACCTGCACAGAAACGAATTTTACCATACGCACAAGCCATATTTGAATTGTTTAGATGCCAGTTGCTACTGGTGTTGTGCGTTTACGACGAATTAAACGGGAAGTTTGTGAAGCATTGGGCTCTTTGCGCTCACACGCCAGAAAGCTTTTAAATCTCCCGTCTGTGTCTTTAAGTCAAATGAAACGGTGCCATGCAAAAACACGAATTATTTTGACCGAAAAGACCTGCGATCGAGACCGCCTGTGGAGACATTCACATTTAATCCGAAGCCATATCCTGTAATTGTGTCTGCCACCCCATCAATGGGTTTAGTCAATAGTGGTTGTCTAGTAGCGAGACTGGCACACGCAACAGAACTGTGTTTTTTTAAATAAATGTAACTATTTTTTTTATTTTACCAGGTAAGGCCCACTGAGCTATATAGCTCTTTTTCAGAAGCGACCTGGCCACAAATTATAGTTCAACGAAGTGGCTTATCACGTTGAAATTTATAGCAGCCAAATACTCTAAAAGCGTGATGTTGATTCTAATGTGGAGGGTACAACCGGAGGACCCCGATAAAAATCCACGCGACCACGGGGATCGAGACACGCAAACTCCAAATATCCTGCAGGCGTCAGGGTCGGAGTCTAAACCACGACCTCCTGCACACCGGGCGAGGTAGTTAACATCTCGCCACCATGGCCTCACGCTCGTATGAACTTTATTTGCAGTTGATCTCGGAAGCTAAGCACGGTTAAGCTTGGTTACTACTTGCATGGGAGATTGGCCGGGAATATCAGGTGTTGTAGGCGTCAGCTGCGAGGTGACCAGCAGATGGCGGTACAGGAATGGGTGTTTTTCACCTGTGCAAAGCATAACACCAGCATACATCCCCAGATGCAAGATCCTCCTGAAAACGGAAAACAGCCTTGAGACTCAATGAGGCTTGCGTGGATAGTTTTCGCTTTACTCACCCATCCAACTCCCACAATTTCGGCTATGAGGGAATGTTCGCGCAGTGTCTTTGAAACATTGGCAGCAGCTGTCATGGTCAATCGACTGCTGGATGAAGGCATTCCCCAAGCCGCGACCATCTCTCACGATCCTGCGATGTATTACAAAACACTACGAGACCGGCCCTTCAATTATTTGTCAGAAGTTTACTTTAAATCATAAGAATGATATGTTTAATTCAAACCAAGGCTCTTAATGTAAATTGGATGTACGGAATTTTAGCCGTAAACATGCATGCATGTATAATCGCGATTGTGACATATAGTCTTACTAAAAGCGGCATTTAATTTTCAACACTTTTAGAACTGCGGTTCAACTTAAATCGCCTAAAAATGCAATCGTGTCTAGAGTGTGTGTGTGCGCGTGGTGCGTTTGTATTCCAGACCCAGTGGTCGGAATTTCCCAGTAATCATTTCACTCGTGGAATACTTTTAACGTGCGTATTGATTAAAATAAAAAAGGGAATCCCTGCGGACACGAAACTGCCGCAAGGTATCGATTGATGTGTTAAGAGAAGGTGTGTTCTCGCGGACACCGGGGGGGGGGGGGGGGGGGTGGCATTTAAGGTAGCAAGAAAACAAAGAGAGCGGTCTTTTCTTTCCAAGCCCACACAGACGCGCAGGTAATTATTGCCATTCAGAATCACCGTCAAGACGGCAGGGGGTGTAGCTGCCATTGTGATGTCCTGCTGTTGTGAGAAGCGGCGTGCTTGTTGGGGTGCTCACGATTGTTAATGGGGGTGGAGAAGAATGAGAGCGGCGGCGCCCGGGTGGATGGACGCCAACCCGTTGAGCCCGATCCCACTGGGTTCGATTCCAGACCACGGCTTACGCAAGTGGCGAGTTGATAGACGGTGCCGTTACGAATCGTCTCTTGAATGTGCATAGTAATTTTAATTTGTTACGAAAGCACCTGAGCTTACATAAAGTTTAACGATGGTGTTACCATTGGGACGATTGGTCTACTCTTCCGCAGGTGTTTTACTGAAACGTTAATACAGCTGTGTGCATCATTAGTCATGATCAGTCCACTGCGGGATATATATGCCTCACCAAGCCCTCGAAATCTCTCAGTATGAATACACACGGGTAAACTCAAGCATATGATGAAATCATGAACACTGATGGGTAAGGTTTATGCCATCACTACATCACAAATATCGCTGCTTTAGAGACGGAAAAAACATAACAGACGACGTTTCGGGCAACGGCCCTTCATTGCTAAATCGTCGAATGTTTTGAATCTTTGTGCAGCATTGCCAAACGGAGCATCAACGTTTTTGTTGTTGAACTGCTGATCTCATTGCAGGCTAGTAACGCTGTATTGATACTGGTCATAGGTGACCCTGCATCAAGCTATACTGAGACCAGCGTGGTGAAGTATGGTCAATGTATCCCCCAATGTCAACAGTTTGCGTGTGTGGGGGGAGGGAATGCATGCGTCCCCAGTCCGATCTCCGCTCACGGCCAACACCGGTGAAGATTATCTGAACGGGTCCTGGGTCTCCCCAAGGTCGACTCAGCCTCAAATGAGTACCTGGTGTGTAAACATTGCCACTCGGGAGACAAATGCGGTCGGGCGTGGTTGCTGGTCACCCACAACCTCGTGTGCCGTTCCGACCTTCACAGCTGCTACTCGTTCACATCACTTGCCCCAACAGTCTGTTAAAGGCTATACGGGGGAGCGTTCATCCAATCTTGATTTGATTTGCAAAAGATCCACTGCAACTCATAAGCGAGGAACCGTAACAAGAATAAAGATAGTCCGATCTGATATTCTATACAGAGGAGGTGGAGAAAGAAACCCCGAGGACTCTGGATGAAGTTCAAATATGGGCAGCCAATGGAAGCGAAAGCCCTGCCCCCCCCCCCTTTCTGCCTTGCCGCCCAATGGGCAGCGTGCGAAGTGCGGCTGTAGTGAACGCACCTCGAGCCGGGGGGAGGGGATGTCGTGGCCGTGGTATATAAACCGCGTGTGCCGTGCGCGCACCCAGGGCATCGGCATTGGCAGTGCGCACAGGCTGGCGCTGTGGGTGGGTCGGGGAAATACTGCTGGTGCGCGCGTGTGTGTGTGTACACGTGTTTGTGCTTGATACACAATCTCACAGCGCTCAGCTGTGTCTCTCCAGCCAGCGGGCTAACTCTTAACTCCCACAGTACTCTTGACTGAGTCTTCCCCCAAAAGTTGTTTCCAGGTTAGTCTTTGTTATAGGGTTTGTTATAGGGTTTGCTATTATTTGTTGGGATTTGCGGTGGTGCTTCATTCATTTAGTTTTTTTTTTGGGGGGGGGGGAGCAGATAAAGTTTGCGTTGATGTGTTTTTTTTAGTTAACTTGCAAGCATCGGTCTGAACTTTTTGTTCTCGTTTGAGCCGCCAGTTTGGACTTCATTCTTAGCAGAGTAGCCCCAAATGAGCGCTTCGTCGAGACCCACAGAAGCGTAGAAAGCGAAGAGAGAATAAAGACTGAGCGAAGAGCGAGGGA